GACTCTGAATCACATAATTTAACAAACACATTAATCAAGAGAAAATCTCTACTGCATATCATGAATGCATAACTAGACTTAAAGATAAAAGAATCAAATCCTAAATCATGGTTACTAACATTTAACTCATAAATTTGCTGATATATAAGAAAATGACCAGGATTTACCTTGCTAAGGGCAGTGAACTGAGGGCAAGGATCTCGGGTCAGCGAATCGGCTTAAACTTCGGCGAGCAAACACGAAAAGGTTTCTGCTCTTTTATGCCTCAAATCCGAGCAGGACGAAAAAGAAATTTGAAGAAAGCCTAGGTTTCAAAGGGTTTGCGACTAGTAGTATTTGAGATAAAGGAGGCGTCTGTGTGGGAGGGTGAGCGGCGGCTCCGAGTTTTGTTTCGAATGGTAGAGGCAGTGGCTGAACCCCTTGGTCGAAAATCTCTTCAAAGGCCGGTATTTATAGGCTGATTTCTAGGGTTCTTGGTTTGGGCGGGATTTCGAAATTGAGTGAAAAGCTATTGAACGTTTGAAATTTGAACGTTGATGTTGCAGAAAATTAATTGAGGTGCAGAGCTTCTTGTTCAAAATGGTAATGGCAAGTTCTGCCATGGTTGAGCAGGGATGAAATTTTGTGAAGAAGAGGAAAGAGAGGAGAAGAAGCGTATGTTTTTGGAGAGAGAATGACAAAATTAAAACCTTAATTATTTTAGGTCTTTGAAAGTGAAGTCATGGATTTCAACCGTTAGATTAAGAGTTTAAATGGCTGAGATTAAGCCTGGCTTATTTATCAAAACGACGTAGTTTTGATGGGGTTCTAGAGTGCTCTATAGTTGGGCTAAAGTGGAGGATTTTGGGCTGCTGGTTGGGCGAATTTGGGCCGACTTTGGGCTTAAAATGGTCTTAATATTCTTTTCTTCCTAGTATTTCCTTGGGCTCCTAAATTGACAAATATACATGATAAAACAATATTAAGTAGATTATTTTAAAGTAGTAACAATACTAATTGCAACAATAGCATTAATAATGATAATAAATAATAATAATAATAATAATAATAATAATAATACCAATAGTAGTATAATAATAAAGTGGTAGTAGTAATAATAATAATATCAGTGATAATAGTAAAAGTAGTAATTATAAGAATAATAATAATATCAATATTAACACTAATACTAATACTAATATTAATATTAATGATAGTAGTAGTAACAATTGTAAAATAAATTGTAGCAAAAATAGGGTATTCAGTTTATTAGTAACTTAGAAGCTCAAGAAAATTAATTAGAAGAAAGGAGGGACAAAAATGGATGTCAACAGCTGCCCCTCTTTGACCAGAGACGATGAAAGAGCTTTCGGGCAAAGAACATTGACTTAGTAGGCAATTTTCTCCCGACCATCAAGGTTGGTATGGGACAAAGGAGGCGTAAAAAAATGATTGCGGCCGAACTCCAGTTTCGAGTTGCCTACATATCTCGGGTTTCACGAGAATCAGGCCATATGTAGTTCAAGACTTATGATACCCTGGAGTAGGACTCAACCAATGATGTAGAATCTAAAATTCTGCCCCAGTGTCGAATAATAAAGACACTGGGTACCATGATTGGAAGAAAGATGTATGAAATAAGAATTTAATTAGGAATCTTGAGAGTTAGGTCGAGCGGAGTTCGAAGTAGATCCTTGACCTTTGTTGGAGAGTTTGGTATTACTCTCCAATAGATTGCCCCAGTTCACTGCTAAGATATAGTTCCACGTTGCGCTATATTTCCTGCAAAGCTTAACAATGCTAAAAAAAATCGTTAGGAAATAAGATGCAATACGCCATTAAAGTTATCTTATGAAAATAATATTTAGGCGTCAATTCATAAGAAATGCGAATTTATTGTGCAAAAATATAAAATATAATGTTATGGTGATATATTTCATGATCGCAATGCCATATGAAAATTTAGCTTATGAAAATAAATGCATTTAGCAATGATTTATGAAAGATATGTTTTGGCAATGCTTATGCAAGCGGGACCGCTCGGGTAGAAATAAATTAAATGTCCTTTTGAGGAAGGATTTAATATCCTATTTGAGGGTGGATTGACCCGATATATCCTATTTGAGGGCGGATGGACCCGATATATCCTATTTGAGGGCGGATGGACCCGATATATCCTACTTGAGGGCGGATAGACCCGATATATCCTATTTGAGGGCGGATAGATCCGAAATATCCGATTTGAGGGCAGATAGACCCGATATATCCTATTTGAGGGCGGATGGACCCGATATATCCTATTTGAGGGAGGATGGACCCGATATATCCTATTTGAGGGTGGATGGACCCGATATATCCTATTTGAGGGCGGATAGACCCGATATATCCTATTTGAGGGCGGATAGACCCAATATATCCTATTTGAGGGCGGATAAACCCGATATATGATGCTTGATTTGTAATTACCAAAATTGATGCAGTGCGAAGAGCTTGATATGGTGCAAAGATCTTGATATGGTGCCCATTTTGTAGTGTAATTCATGGTGCGATGCAAAGATTCTGGTGCAGTAACTTTATAGTAGCGAATATCCATAGTGTAGAGAGCTTGATGCAGCGCCTTTATAGAAGCAGATACTGAGGGAGTGGTGCCAATAATTTGGAATCTGCATGCTGAAGTTTATTATTGGTAAATTCCTGCACTCAAAGAAAACTATGAGTTTTTAAATATAATATGCGATAACTCGGCTTGATCGTCATGTTGCACTATATTTCCTGCAAGGCAAATTCGTCGGTAGAGTAGATATTGAAAGGCAATGTGCTGTAAAGTATTCTTACAAAATGACACCTTTTGGGCATTTACTTATACAATACGGCCTAGTCGGCCAAAATGATTTGATAAAAATGTAGCTTTATGTCAATGATTATTTTCAATAAAAACATGTAGTATATAAATGTGCTTTGCAATGATTTATGATAATGATGCATTTCAGTATTGACATTAACAACATGACCATCTAGGTCGAAATAAATTAATGAAAAGCATGTGAATATGTGCTAATGTGTCCTGTTGAAGGCGGACAAGCCTAAATATCATATTAAAGGCAAACTTGCTTAAAATCCAATTAAAGACAGATAAGCGTAAATATCTTATTTAAGGCGGATGAGCCTAAATATTTAATTAAAGACAAATGGGCATAATTGTCCTATTAAAGGCGGATAAGCCTAAATATCATAAAGGCAAGCATGCTTAAAAATCCAACTAAAGGCGAATAAGCCTAAATACTTAATGCATAAATGTCCTGTTAAAGGTGGACTAGCCTAAATATCATAAAGATAAGTGTGCTTAAAATCCAATTAAAGGCGGATAAGCCTAAATATTTAATGCATAAATATCCTATTAAAGGCAGACAAGCCTAAATATCATATTAACAAGCAAACGTGCTTAAGAATCCAATTAAAGGCGGATAAGCCTAAATATCCTATTTAAGGCGGATGAGCCTCAATATTCAATTAAAGACAAATGTGCATAATTGTCCTATTAAAGGCGGACGAGCCTAAATATTTAAATAAAAATAAATGTGCATAAATATTCAATTAAAGGCGGATAAGCTTAAATAGTTAATGTATAAATGTCCTGTTAAAGGTGGACAAGCCTAAATATTTAATTAAAGATAAATGTGCATAAATATCCAATTAAAGGCGGATAAGCCTAAATATTTAATTAAAGGCAAAATGTGCCTAAACGTCCTATTAAAGGCGGACGAGCCTAAGTGTCCTATTAAAGGCGGACAAGCCTAAATGTTTATTAAAGATAAATATGCATAAATGTCCAATTAAAGGCGGATAAGCCTAAATATTTATTAAAGGCAAAATGTGCCTAAACGTCCTATTAAAGGCGGACGAGCCTAAGTGTCCTATTAAAGGCGGACAAGCCTAAATGCGATGCTTGATTTAAACTTACAAGATCGGTGCAGTGTGAAGAGCTTGGCATGGTTCTTTCGAAGTAATATATATTGATGGTGCAATGCAGAGAGCTTGGTGCAATAATTTTGTAACAGCAAATGGTGCGGTGCAGAGTGCTTGATGCAATGCCTTTGTAGTAGTGAATATTCCTGGTGCAATGCTAACAGTTGTTGGATCTTCATACTGAAATTTTGCTATTAATAAACTCTTGCACTCAAAGAAAAATTATAAGTTTCAAAGCTTGATTTGTGCTGGCTTGGCTTCATCCTTTGCTTTGCATGAATCTTGTGGCTGAGCTTTGCGGTAGCGTGTAATATTGTTCAAGAATAGCAAAAATATGCCCTTGCATTACTCAAAGAAAGTTCGTTAGTATAAAAGAAAGTGGTTGCCTTGCATTGAATATCAAAGTTTGGCTTTGAATCTGCAACTTGTTGCTATGGCTCCTGGAATTTGCTATTGTGCTTGTAATAAATATGTAGCTTGAAATTTCATTTTCTGCTTTGCCAAATGATGAGGATCCTTCTGCAAAATCTGCCCTGGTTTTGGCTTTTGGGGTAAATAGGATTTTTATTATGATGAGACAGAACCCATAGGGCTGCCTACGTATCCCCTCTTAAACGGGAATCAGGTCAACACGTAGTTCATACAAAAGTTTAACAAAAGTACATGAAACAGAGTCAATCATGAAAGGGCGGGCAAAATAGTAGTGATGACAAGCTCTAGTCAATCATCTTGTTTAGCTTCACGTTTTCTCTTCAAAGGTCTTGGTGCCATCTTTGAAAGATCACCTTTAACCACAATGGTATTAGCGACTGAAGGGTCATAATTGTTGCATGGTTGCTCTTGCTGCACAATTATCTTGTTGCTTTCAATCATGTTCTGAATCTTATGCTTAAGTGCTGGGCACTCTTCTGTGTCAAGGCCTTGAATATATGAATGGTACGCACAAGTTTTAGACCAATCAAAATCTGGAGGAAGATTTTGCGGGATCCATCCTTTCCTTAGCTGTAAAAGTCCTTTCGCTTTCAATCTCTCAAACATGCTTGTCAATGATTCTTTCAGAGGAATAAAAGTGCGGATTTCAGGTTCTCTGAATGACGATAGCTAGATTGTGCTTGATAAGCTTGATGTTGAACGCTTTGCTGAGTAGGTTGGAGTTGTATATGAGTTTGTAGCAGCTGGCTATTTTGTTGAGATTGTGGCTGATGAGCGGGAATACAAGCAGAATCTATCTTCCTCTTTTTGCCTTGTAAATTCTCGAGTGCATCGCCTTGGGAAGTGGCTTGTAATTTTGAATTGTCAATAATTTTTCCTGCTCGAATGCTTGCTTCTATTAGTTTTCCAACTCTAATCAAATCCGAGAAATCACGTAGCCGAGCGCATAGCAACTTTTCATAGTATATGCCTTTTTGCATTTCGATGAAGGTGGAAATCAACTCATTTTCGGGCAATTGAGGGCGTATTTTTGAAGCCTCCAGTCTCCATCGCATGGCATATTCTGCAAAAGACTCGTATTGCATTCTTTCTGCTTCACGCATATTACAAAGCGTTGGACTATCTCCAATATTAAACTTATATTGTTCTACAAAATCGCGGGCCATGTCCTCCCATGTGTACCATCTGCTAAAATCTTGCTGAGTGAACCAATCAAGCGCTAGCCCTGATAGACTCTGAATGAACAACTTCATTCGAATGGCTTCATTATGTCCAATCCCCACTAATCTGCTGCAGTAGTCTTTTAAATGACAAATGGGATTTCCTTTTCCGTTGAAAGTATTGAATTTTGGAATTTTGAATCCTGGCGGAAACTCAACATTTGGATGCATGCACAAACTTTCGTATCTTAAACTCGGAATATTTCTTGCACGCATTTCTTCCTCCATGATCTTTCTTAGATTATGGAGCTCTCTATCTGGGTCATCCCAGCTAGTCATCTTAATTTCCTTTCCTGGTCTTTTGTATGGACATAACGCCAGTTGATTTTGTTGGCCTTTTGTGACTGATGGTGCAAGTGCAGACGATTGAGCATTGGTCATCATGATGACTGGCAAAGCCTCTGGATTGATAGTAAATTTTGGCGGTATTGGCGGAGGACTTATGTAAATAGTTGCTGGATGAGGAGATATGGTCAAAGAGACATTTTTGGTTGAGCTGGAAGCAGAATTTGGGTTGGGGAGAAGGTTGAAAGTATTTCCCAGATTGACCAAAATGTTCCTCCGTACAATATTTGTCTCCTCATCATCAGTCTCAACTTGCAACAAACCTTTACCGGTACTGAGTGCTCCAAATCAGTTTGCCATTGTAGTTACGTCCTTGATGCAGATTCGCAGCCAAAACAGTGTTCAATGCTAGACAACCTTTAAAGAAAAATAAAACTTGTACAAAACAAAATAAAGTGTTAGCACATTCGTCATAACAAATAAATGCACTAAAATAATGAAATATATGATTAGATAGATTAATCCATGATATGGTTAAGAAGGAGCCCTAAACTAGAAACAATAGCCTAAATTGAGAAATGGATGGACGAGAATGACTTGTTATCTGGACTTGGACATGAAATGATTCTAAATTTATTTTAGCATTGGCAAATCATAAAGTTATCGAGGCATGAAATATGGTATCAAGCATTTTGAGAGTTATGGGAGAGTACCTTGACTCATGCGCCAAAATTTAGAATTAATGGGTGCATGAAGATTAATCTCGACGACCCGAAATAAGACGATATAGACACTTGAATTGAATAGGTGAAAATATTAGAATAATATGACAATGCAAATTGACCAAATAGTGGCCTTCTATTGCTTGGTAGATTGCGCAAAGTTTGGACATCTACCCGCTTGGAAATGTATGTTGGCACGAAGGTTGAAGTTCTAAGAGATATGAAGCTATGAGACGAATAACAGAGATACAAGATTACGTCGGAATTGGAAAAAAAATTAGGGAAGAATTGAAAATTATGTAAGGCAGGAGTGGAAATATTTAAAAAAAAAATTATGTAACTACATTTTGAGAAAAGAACGCGAATAAAATCAACTAGCGAAATTAGATAGGCAAGATATTTTCATACCATAAAAGATTACACCAGTTTTTTTTTAAAGAAGTTGGAATGCTATCTTGCTATAGGGAATAAGATGCTCATTGTTGTGTAAAGAAAATTCTTATGGCTAGTTTAAGGCACGAATACTGAGAAATTTCATGACGAACCGAGCCTATTGAAGGATTTGCGGGCAAAACGTCCTATCTTATGAATAATGGAAGATCATGCCCAAAGACTAAAAAGATATATTAATTAGACTCTAAAAATTGGAGAGGGCCTAAAAGAAATTTGGACCTAAGTAAATACCTAAACGGTGCTCTAGAGTCGTTAAAGAGCGCTAAGCGCGGAATGATGGTGATTATTAATATTATTGTTATTATTAATAAGTCAAGAGGATGATATAAAAATAAAAAAATATGTAAACAAATAGAGTATATATCTAAAATAATAAAAAAAAAAAGTAAGCAAGCTGGATAATAAATATTTCCATCTTCTGAAAAACAACAAAATGTTAGTAAAAATAATAAAGTCAAGTAAGCGACGTAGCAAGTAAGCAAGCAAAGCATGTGACAGATTCCAAAGCATAACAAATAATTCTACGTCCTAATATGCAGGGGGGGCTCTTAGTGCCAGAGGTAGGCCTAACGTGTATTTGAAAGATAAATATGCCATTATGTATTATTCCATTTCTACAAATTAATAATTCTATTTTTTAAAAGAAAATAAATAGATAACTGCTTAAACATCTTTCTTTTTTTTAAAAAAAAAAAGAGCGTATTTTTATCAAAAGAACAAAAGAAAGTATAATATATTATATTATAATTAATTAAGTAATTCTATTTTTCAAAAGCAAAAGAAGTGCTTAAGCCATTTTATTTATTTTTACGTAAAGAAAATCAAAAGAAAGTACAATAAAAGATATTTTTGTCATGTGTAAACTTCTCGTTGTTCCATTTGAAAACTTTACACATGTTATAGATAGTCATGCTCCTTTAACTAGGATTTAATTAATTTAAAGGAAATGATCCACATAATTGGCATGTTCACCCTTCAAATAATGCNGTGCTCTATAGTTGGGCTAAAGTGGAGGATTTTGGGCTGCTAGTTGGGCGAATTTGGGCCGACTTTGGGCTTAAAATGGTCTTAATATTCTTTTCTTCCTAGTATTTGCTTGGGCTCCTAAATTGACAAATATACATGATAAAACAATATTAAGTAGATTATTTTAATGTAGTAACAATACTAATTGCAACAATAGCATTAATAATGATAATAAATAATAGTAATAATAATAATAATAATAATAATAATACCAAAAGTAGTATAATAATAAAGTGGTAGTAGTAATAATAATAATATCAGTGATAATAGTAAAAGTAGTAATTATAAGAATAATCATATCAATATTAACACTAATACTAATACTAATATTAATACTAATGATAGTAGTAGTAACAATTGTAAAATAAATTGTAGCAAAAATAGGGTATTCAGTTTATTAGTAACTTAGAAGCTCAAGAAAATTAATTAGAAGAAAGGAGGGACAAAAATGGATGTCAACATGGCAAATACACTATTTTTGAAAGCAAGATTCTTTTTTTTATATTTTCTTTTTCAGTGGCAAATAAACAAACTAATTTGAAAATAAAACTCTTTTTGTTTTTCAAACTAAAAACTACTTTTCTTCTTTTTTCTTTCATTTTCTCAAAAATCCGGTAGCATTTCGGCACTACTTGGACATTGGTTTTTCTAATATAGGTAATTAACTCTCTGCACTGCTATTTTTGCTTTTTCTCTTTTTGTTTTTTTCAATTTTTCCCAGATATTCAAAGCCGGTCAGCATGCGAATCTAAAACAGATAAATGCACAAGTAGGATGCATCAGGATGGTCCATTATTCCGGGTACACCTGTCCTAGACGGACCCAACCCCTGTGTTGAGTCCCCTAAGTTAGAATGCACGTGATGCAGATAAGCGTTCCTACTAGGGATCCGGCATGAGGTCAAGTTATTATAGGTTCAAAACCTGGGTATAGGGTCTAGACTGTGTACCCGAGCGGACAACTCGAGTCGATGAGGGGGCTACGTACCGGGAACCAAAAGGCCATCCGGCTTAGTAACTTGTCCGGACTCTTTCTTACTTTAAGGTATGACACTAACAGAATAGGGAGTCTCCACCAGTGAGCACATCCCCGGAGGTGAGAAGAGAAGGGTTTCGCCACAGTTTATATACAGTTCAGATAATATCAAAGCGGTAAAGCATTTAGCACATTTAGCATGAAACATGTAGGAAAACAGATAAAGCCAAATACAACAACATATCTAAGCTCGAATTCTGAACCCTGAACCAAAGTTCTGGGTTTTTTTCCCCAGCAGAGTCACCAAAGCTGTCACACCTCCTTCTTACTACACCCCCGCAAGGGTGTAATAAGGGAGTTATTTCCAACTTGAAGTGACAATCAAAACGGGAATCTTTTATTAAAAATTCAGAGTCGCCACTTGGGAGATTTATGGTGTCCCAAGTCACCGGTTGAATCCCGAATCAAGGAAAATAATGACTCTGTTTAACAGTCCGCGAACCAAAAATTCGAGTAAGGAATTCTGCTAACCCGGGAGAGGTGTTAGGCATTCCCGGGTTCCGTGGTTCTAGCACGGTCGCCCAACTGTCATATTCGGCTTAATTATCTGATTTTGAACAATTATGAACCTATGTGCAAATTTTAACTTTTTGACCGCTTTTATTCATTTTTTAGAGAAAATTGCAACGTCGTTAAAAATACGTCTCGAACTACGTCACATAAATGCACCCGCGATTTTCGACATGTTCTAACTTCGTTGGGATTTGAATTTGGGTCACATAAATGTGCACCCGAGTTTAGGAAAGTAATATTATTAAACTAACGCGCCTAAAGCTTTTCGCGTTTGCAGCTTTGCGAGGGCCGTGGAATTTAGCTAAACGGCACTCCTCGAATTCTAAGGACCAATACAGGATTAATAAAGCGAGGGCCATGCAATTGATATTTTTGTTTGGCATGGCGCACCTCTAAAGCTACAGATCATAGGCCCTAAACTGAAGCTAAGACAGGTGGGCCTGGGGAATCTCATAAGGCCACTAATCATGGGCCAATGACTGCAGCCCGGATAAATGGAACTGGGGAGTGACTACTCACAATTCAATAATCATCCAAACAGATATCGTCTAGCCAAATGAAATAGGCATCTAGCACGGCAAATTCCAATATAACAAAAAGCTTTCTAACTTCTAGTTAAATCTCTCCTCACTCTCACATGTTCAGCAGCAAACATGATTTCCAGTGCACACGAGGATTAAAATGTCAAAATTTGACCAAGAGAAAACCAAAGCTTTCATAACAAAAGAGCTAGAACATAATTTTTGGAAAATAACTGAGAATACTACAAATGCACCACATTCTGCAAATCTTGGCCATACAATTTGAAGCATGAAGACTGGGCGCAAACATAAACATTTCTATAACACTTACTCATCTAGCTAAAGAGAGAAGAGACCAAGAATGTTAAAGAATCGATCCCAGCAAATACCAACAATCTAGAACTAAAGAAAATGACAAAGAGATCTTTTAAACTTGAATAGGCAAGGATTAACTTAAAAGGAGTTAACTAATGTTGTCACTGACAAACAGGAAGAAAATACACATTTTCCTATCTTGTACCAACCTTAACACAACAGTGAAGATTTCAATTTCACTCGAACTTAGCAAAGATGATCGATCGCCAATATATAGAGAATCCCAAACAATGCTTTTAGCCTTTCATGCTTGAACCAGTGTGTTCGAAACTAAGCCAACAGTCATGAATCAAATTGTCAAATGCTAGCAGCTAGGAACAGACTTACAAGTGCCTTAACTAAGTGTATTTCTCAACAAACATAGGGGAAAGAGGGCAAAACTATAGTAGCAAGATAGTATATATTTGATTTCATTCAAATCTATGAAGTATGCAAATTTTGCTAAGCCGTT